CCGTAAGACACGATGCCATCATACATCAATATTTTATTAAATATTTATATTGAATGTTTCGGTACCAAATATGCTCCAAAAATGGTTTGCTTAAAATTAAATTAAATTTCAAAAGTTTGTGGCCATACTTCTCATTTCTGGAGCATTTAAAGATTTATTTAGATGCGATATATGAAATGCGTATTACATGATTAAACAACGATCTAAAATCATTTTAAGATATATTTTTTATTAAATTCCAAGGTCTAATAATGTCAATATTTGTACGGATATACGTGTATAGATATTAACGCTTAGGTGAATGAAATTTCATCAGCATGATTTGAAGAAAATAAAAACAAATAGATTTGAATTGAACAAAATATTCTACGGGTCCCGCATCGATGTATTTCGCAAAATAGCGTGCTAAGTTATTACTCATTATTATTCATTACTCTGTGCTTATCCAATGCAGCATTGAATCCAAATGGAAAACCTTGAGCACTTTGTCTAGCAAATATATCTGTCTTGAAACTGTTTATGATTCATATAATTTTATGACAAATACTTACTGTCACTATAATTTTCATTTGGTAATATACAGTTTAGAATTACTTTCTCTTCATTATTCTCAATTTTAAACTCATTAAGTGATTGCGTCTAAGATATTGCATTCGCAATTATCTCTTATCACAATTCAGAATTTCAAATATAATTGCAGTAGCGTATAAATGCTTATAAAGTATAGTATAGAGGTATATGAGATATTGTAAACAAGTTATTAAAGTATAAAAGGCTATACAAGTGGTGATTTAAAGTTTAAATCAATAGCAATTTAATAATAAATGAGCCGGTAAAATTTCAAATTTTATCAAATTTGTTAACACCTAAGGTATTATTACATACGAAAAAGTCATGACTAATAGTATTATTACAAACAATTCAGTATACTAAAATGTATATATTAATCAAATACAAATAAACCAATGTAATTTTGTCACAGCTAATTTTTTTTTTAAGTTTATTTTGAACTGGCACTGTAAATTTACGGCCTTCCTTTGAAATAAATTATTCAATAAACGATTATTTGTAAGTAAACGATTAATAGTATTAAGAGATAAAATGTCATAGCATGGTAGATTATTCGTTAATTACAAGTATTTAATCTCCTATTACAATAAACCACTCTTACACTAAATTTACCTATTTTAATAAGTAAGCATTTCACACATTTAATGTAATGATTGAAACACATTCCTATTTCACAATATCTGATTGTATTTAAATAACTGTTTTTTTTTTCAGAATAAACTATTTCATAAGTTTAGATCCCTATTTTTTTCATATTGTCAGTATTTACAAAATTATTCTTCTTGGAGATAAATTGCCTCTATTATTGCAAATAATGAAATAAAAATTTCTTTCAACTAAATGTCACTCAAGAAAGTGACTGATCCTCAAGTGTCATTATCTTTATTCTCTATACTTTTTATGTTCTTTTATAAATTACCTCGTTATAAATGTTTCGCACCGCATATGACCTCATTCGTGCATACCTACATTGGGAAACAAATTTCGAAAAGCGACGTGTAAAAAATTTATTTTCTACTAATATTATTATAATGATGATGAAGTTTTTCACTTCTTTTAAAATTATTATTATCAGATGTTTAATTTTAGGGTAGAGCTGGGCTTAAAGGTCCGCGGGTAAAAGGTCCACCACTATTATCTTAGAAACTATTAAAGTTGAAATACTATTATAAAGTAGAGGAAAAATGATGTGCAACCACCCATCGTCGCCACATTTTCAAATTTTTAACGAAAGTATTATTGTCAGTCTTTTTGTTTTTAAGCACGGTTGTTGAGTTTAAGTTACCTGAATATAATTTTTAAGTATACGTTATTCAATTGTTTTATAAGATGTATTTTTATTCTTAAGTTATATTAAACTTTTTTATAACCTCTAAAATACCTTATACGCGGTTGGGGTGAAAAGGACCACCTACGCTTATACACTGGCGAGGTGTAAACAATGAGAAAATAGTAAATTAAAATGAAAAATATGTTAAAAAAGACAATTTTACAAGAGATAAATTAAATTAGTAGTTAATCCAACTCTGATGATGAGATCTTTTGGCAAAATTTCATACAAAAAACGTTTGCAGTGCGATCTTTATAAAAAATATGCCCATTAAATATGTATTTCAAATAGAAATTGCATTTATTTCATATTTAATGATTGTATTTCGAAAAAATGAGTCTTATTATATTAAATTAAACAGAAATAGCTACCAAACCCAGAGTTATAAAGTACATAGTAAGAGTTTATAAAATGTTTTGTTTATTATGTTTAAAAATACATGTTTAGATTATGATTTCATATATTGTTGTTCAACCTTGAAATTAAACTGCTTGGTATTGATTATATAGTTATTATTCTAATAAACCTATTTAAATCTATAATATAAAAATGAATTGCAAAATGTGTTGGTAAGCGCATAACTCAGCAACGCCTGGACGAATTTAGCCAATTCTCTTTTTTAAATGTTCGTTGAAGTCCAAGGATGGTTCTTTGGATGAAAAAATCAAATAATTGCCGGGAAAACTCTAAAAACAGCCCACTTCTTTTTCACATACAAACGTTAGGATGTTCATATTTTTGCGGAATATTTACTTACTGGAAGTCAACGGAGCGTTTTGGGTCTGAATTTTTTTACTGTGCTCCAATTTGTGTGGAATTTTGAAATTAGGTTTTCCTTACTCTCAAGTTCAAAAGTGAAAATAATTCAGACTCCCTTACATTCCTCTCAGTGGTGTAATTTCATTTTTTTCAAAATAACGTCAAATATTTTTTTCAAAATATTGATGAAAGAACTAATTATAAGAAAAAAATGTTTTATAATGTTTTTCAAAAAAGCAAATACTCATCATTTTATTTAAAGCAGTTGCACATTTAAGACTGTAGTGTAAAAAAACATAATAATCTTTAACTAATTGGTAAATATCAGTATAGGTTATTAAAAAAAATTGGAACTTTTGAATTGTAAATAGTACAGGACAACGTCTGTCGGGTCATCTAGTTTAGGAATAAAATCCTTTTGCCCCCTGGCTTTCCCCTTTTACTAGGTGACAATTTTTTGAAAAATAATAATAAAACGTATTACTATAATGATGGAAGTTTTATTGAACATAGTCCGATAGTTGTTTGTTAGATATGTGAAATTTGTTGTGATGTAATTGGTTTGGTTTTCAAAATAGAATTTCTCAAAATCAAATTGGACCTTTGTGGCCCATCCTATCCTACATTCCGCAAACTCATATGTAGGCTACATATGAGTTTTATAAAAGGAATATTTATATTTCATGTATAAAAATGATTAATAGATTGTTATGAAAATAATCGTGTTAAAACATTTTGAAATGGTATTATCTTACTTAAATTTTAATCATCTTCATCATCCCAATATGCAAACTTGAAAAAGAAAAAGAAATACTGGTCTATTCAATGAGCTTCTCTATTTGACTACAAAAACACCTTAAGTGCAAAATATAAAGTGCATTTGCATTATTTTTGATTCTCGTAACAATGAAAACTGTAAATTAGTGTATTTACTCTTATAGAATTAAATGTTAACAACGATGTGACCAAAGTATAAAAACAAGATCAATAATCGCAAATTATTTCACAAAAGCAAGTTTTTAAAATAGTTAATATTTTGTTTAATAAATTAACAGTTAATGGAACTTTCAATGAATGCGACTTGCATTTTAATAAGATAAGATATGTATATGTTGATAAGAATTTTGAGATAGCAAGTTTAAATTGTTAATCATTAAAACCGTATGCTCGATGAAAGGTGAAGAAAAATACGTTAGTATATATAAATGCTGAAATTAATTAACTGCAATGTTGACCAATGGTTTTATATTTTGTCGTACATGTTTTTGTTTTTGTATGTTTTGTTTTTTGTTAAGTTATTTTCAGGTTCCAATTATTTTCTAAAAATATTTTTTTCCACAATTCTATTCATTTTATATAAAAAATCTTCTGCTTTTCTTAAACATACTGTTTGCCTAAATCTTATCAAGAAATGGTTTTTTAAATAAACTTTTTTGTTTTTTATTACCTTTTGGATTCTTTGTTCGAAGCCAAAATATTTACAAATCCAAGACTCAACCATTTAGTTTATATATATATATATATATATATATATATATATATATATATACATGTGATATGGATTTACTTCTACAGATGCACATATAATGTCTCGAAGAGGAGGAAATGTGAATCTAGTGCGTCAAAAGGTGCGGCGCAGATGTCAATGTGTTTCCGATTACCGGAAAACCGGAATGCCCACGGAATATTGAGCATTTCTCTAGTCCAATATGAAAACTATTCATATGTAATGAGTAAAATTTTGTATGATCATGTTTATCGTATATCAGCAATAAGACGCATTATCTTATCAACACAAAATTAATCTATGCGACCAATGTCTGTGACTTACGCTTCGTTCTTATTAAACTAATTTTTTATAATATTTATTATAATTTATCATGATAGTAATATATCTGTTTTATAAGTTGCATCGAGCAAACATTGGCAAATTTGACGTCTTACAAGTTTTTTTTTTCTATTTATAGGTCTGACAGAAGGCACCGAATTATATTTGACAACACTTTGTTATGTCTAAAGTTTAAATCCAAGGAAATATATATATATATATATATATATATATATATTTGCTACTATATATATATATATATTCTAGATACATTAAGATTTGAGATAATTAAACAATATGTGTTTGTTTACACAAATTGATAAAATTTTATGAGTTTCCAACCAGCTTTACATTTTCATTTATAACCTTTACTCTTGTGTATACAACAGTTTGACAAACAAACAATTCATGCTACTCAAACCTTAAAGTCTAAAGGTCATAATTTAAATGCCAAAATTGTTAGTTACCTATACATTAGATATCATTTACATCTACATGCAATTACAAACTTACATTGCGTTACGGATTCCGGATAAACTAAAGCTATTAGATCGAGCTTTCTTTTTTCCGAGCGTCCAAAATCGTATTTTATTATGATTATCATCCTCATAGAAAGGATTCAAATGCTCCGGATAATCAAAAATGGATACAACCCTGGCGCCCGGAGGATGCCCATTAGAAGTCATTTTGTACACTTTTTAATCACTAATATCACCAAAAGAGTAAGGAAATAAGGTTGCACTCACAGAATTTTGGTATTGCACATGGAATAAGAATAAAATCAATTGTGAGTCACATTATAGGACTGCGTGAAGTTGAATAAAACGCGCACCTTAATGTCTTGAAGTCGACTGGTGTAACTGCCGTCAATGCCGTCACCGGTAGTCACGCTACGCGATTCTCAAAGACCACACGAGTTTTTCCGATTAGAACCGACCGGCGACAGTATTGTTTTTCATGCATGAATTTCATTACTCTATCAGGGGCATATTTATCGCCGATTTCATAGAGCTGATAAGTATTTATTGAAGATGTATTTAATCTTAAGCGTATTGAACTTACATGCACGCCTGCGAAACTAGCGCGCCTACGCCGATAGACCGGATGTATTTGATCGTTTCGCTCTGATCGATCCATGTCCTGAATGGCAGTACCTGCCAAAAAGGCACGATATCATTAAGCATTTAAAAATTATTCACATAAATTTCATAAAAATACAATAATAATAAGGTAGAGCGTGGCTTAAAGGTCCGCGGGTAAAATGGTCCACCACCGATATTTCAAAACAAGTATTTAATTGTGTTAAGAATTAAGTAAAGTTAAGAATTTTTTAACAACAATATTTGAAAGTAGAGCGAAAAAGATGTATAACCAGCCATCACCTTAATTCTTGCGACGTTGCTATCGGGAGATAAACAGCAATATTTGAAAATCTATTTATTTAATCTAAGTGGTTCGTTGTTATTTTTTTGGTTGTGAGCACTGTTATTTAGTTTACGAGACCTTAATATAATTTTTAAGTACACCTTATTTAATTGTTTAATTTAACAGCGTTTTTTATATAACCTCTATAAAAGCTTACACCCAGATGGAGTAAAAAGGACCAACTGAACCTTTACCCTGTCAAAGGTATAAACAATAAACGATAGTAAATAAAAAGTACATTAAGGTAAAAAAGCGAGTTCACAAGAAACAAATTAAATAAATAGTTATTCCAAATCTGCTGATGAATATTTTTGAAAAAATTCCAGATAGGGGAAAGTCCCGTAACGCCGGACGGCACCTAAAGCCGGACACTCTATTTAACACGTATTATTTAAGCGAGTATAAATCTTTTTATTTCCAAATACAAGGGGCGCGGGGGGCACACAGGTGCAGAATCACGCGTCAAAGCTCACCTGTGACGCACACGACCACGGCGGGAGCAACCCTTTGTTGTTTTAGGCTTTGTTTGATATGTGTTATTTGTCGTGATATAATTGGTTTAGTTTTCACAATTTGGACCTTTGTGCCCCGCCCAACCCTATTAACTATTTATGCACTTTCATTCTTACTTACATCCAGAAACGTTGTGATGTGTATTATTTGTATCCTATTATTGACTTATTGTTAGAAATTGATTTGCGTTGATTTTATTTCTATTTGAGCATTGGCAGTTATGCATTTATAGTCCAGTCATTTGGTAGTTTTGCCTGAAAAGTTTTCGGGAAGATCTGAAAATTGGCAATTTTAGATATATATATATATATATATATATATATATATATATTAGGGTGGTCCTTAAAATGGCCATTTTCGAATTTCCTTGCTCCCAGGGGCTTAAATGGTTCCAAATAGATAAAAAACAATTCACTGAAAGTTTTAGCTCTTAAATTAACGTTTAGATAGAGCGCAATTCAATCAAAGTTTGTATGGAAAGTGCATGGAAAAAATTTTGAAAGTTAAAAAAAAATGTTTTAGGTATAACTTAGCGATAAATGAATGAGTTTTATTAGTTATAGATAGCGGGCGCAGCTATTTTTTTGCAGTACGCGCCGCCATATCAGACTTCCCTGTATTTTGCTGTACTCTGTTCTTGAGCACATTCTCTCATTCAATTTGATGTGGATTCTGAAATGAAACTTCAACTGAATGAAAGAGTTTATAACGTACGAACCTGCTCCGTTTTCGTTATCGCTTCTCGATTATGAAGTTATGCGCAAATGGGTTACATCATTTATATATAAGGCATTTAAACAACATTTTTAAGACATAAATGTTGAAGACATTGAGATACCTATTACACCGAGTCAATTGCCTTCGTGGTGAATCGTTTTCTTTCTAACTCTCCAGGTAAACGCGTTTTTTGGCACCAAATTACTGGACTACCACCATATATTTACAACTATCATTTATAAATATGAATTTTGAACGTTGTATAATGGTCAATGGTTTATGGTTATATCATAAAAACTTAAAATATCCGTTTCGCTACAATCACAAGAATGCACAAATATTTTTTTTTAAATTTGACAATATATTTTGCAGATTTGTTAACATGCCAATTAATCGCTAATCAGCGACAAATAGAAGAAAATAGGGGTGGAGAAAGAGTTATATGAATTATTATAGAGAAGCAATTTATTTATGAAAAGTAGTAATAAATATTATTAACACAAGGAAGGCTTATTAAGATTTTATGTTCATCTAAAGAAAATATATCTTAAATATTTGATTATAATATAATTAAACACAAAATAGATGATAATTTATTGATAAACAAAGACATATATACAATATTTTAAATATAAATTCAATAACAATTTCATTTTATTATCAATTATAATTGATAATAAAATGGAATTGTAATTAAATTTATGTTTTATTGTACGTATAAGTGAGATGAACAAATTCTACAATTGTAGTTAAAATTACAACCAGATAGTTTCTATCATTAACTTTTATCTGTATTTTATACTTTGCGGTTTATTTTGCCGTAACGCAAATTTCTCAAAACACCAAATGGCTTATTTCAATCATTTATAAAACCATGTATATTGTTTTTCTCATTTAGATTTTGCACTAAAAAAAATGTTGTTCTACATTTGTTCGTCTGGCATGAGCCCCAAGCTAATAAATATAGAGATTTCTGACAAAGTGAAAAACTTCGTATTTGAAATTTTGTCAAAAGTATTTGAAGAATTTATGTATTCATTTTTTTTAAATATATTGAAATAATTGAAAATGCATTTTATTTCAAGATTTAATTCATGAAAGGGGCGAGAATATATTATTGTGATAATGGCAAATAGAGCGCCTATTTTGTATATTTACAAATATGATTAAATAATAATTACCAAAACATTTGCGTAGCAAAGAAGTATATAAATTATTGAATTTATTTTGGAAAATTTATTTTTTATTTCTGAATATATTTATAAGTATTTAGTATTAGGTATCGATTAAATTGCGTTTATCACAAGATTATCTGAAGTCAATCATAATTTAAATAACAAAAATTTTCAAAAAAAAAACTACTAAATATAACTAGTACTAAAGACAGAAATTTTGAGCAAACAATCGGTAAAAATTGAAGTGAGACACTATTTAAATTGTAAATTATCTATCTCCAATTGTGAATTATCTAACAGTGAAAACATAGACAAAACTTCACTAATAATAACTAATATATTAACATTGTATAAAATTATACTTAAATTTATTTAGACACATGATATTTACCTCAGGAGTTGTGTCAATGGGAATACAGTAATTACCATTAAAGTTTAAGATAAAAGCATTATTCAGATGTTTATATTAGGTGAAGTAAAAAGAATTCCATTATATTTGCAATGGTTGGCTTCAAAGATCATGTTTTACTAGGCGGCGTTAAAAAGATGAGATTTTCTACTAAAAAAATGATTAGAAAGTTTTGTCATTGATTGGCTTAGTTTTGTTTGAGTACTCGTCAAAAATTGACACTAGTAAAGAGAAAATACACTATAGTTTACATTTTTTGTTTGATAAAGGCGAAAACGCAAACTAGGCGGCGAAAAATCTGAATAGTGTTTATGGTCCTGATACTGTAACATCTAATTATACCCAACTTTGATTTCGTCAATTCAGTCGGAAAAATTTTGATGTCAAAGTCGCAGGCGCACTAAAAGGCCAATTGCCGAAAATGTCGACAAAATCAAGGAGTCCAATAGTCATGTAAGTCTAAAGACTGTAAAAAGCTTTTGGCATCATTTAAAGATACAAAAAAGCTCTGTGTATTGGTGCTACACAAAAACCTACTGGAGAATTTTCATCTGCGAATCGCTACTGAATCGCAAGAAAATTGCCTCATTTTTGAAGCGATTGGTGACTGGTGATGAAAAGTGAATCTCTTGCGACAACTTAAAGCGAAAACTGTCCTGATCGAATTGCGATGAGTAGGCAGAAATTGTAGCCAAGCCAGGATCGGGATTTTGTGGTTTAGCAGGGAATTATAAACTGCGAACTGATCTCCTATGGTAAAACTTCTAACTCAGACTTGTACGCTCAACAATTGAACTGTTTCATGGAAGTAATCGCTCAGAAGCGGCCATCTTTAGCCAATAGAAGATGAATTGTGTCTCATCCTGAAAACTCCTGGCAACACACATCGATAGTGATTCGCCAGAAGCTCCAAGAGCTTTATTGGGAAGGAGGATTTTATACATCTATCTTATAGTTTGGACTTGACACCAAGCAATTACCATCAGTTCCTGCCCATGGCCGACAGTTTTGATAATAAAAAAATCACTTCAAGAAAGGCTTGTAAAAACCGAAGTTCTTATTTTTTTTGCCAATAGAGACGAGGGTTTCTATTTCAGCGGCATAATGATATTATATTCAAAATGGCAACAGGTTATCTAACAAAATGGCGCACAATTGATCTAAATCGATTCATCCTAACTATAGTAATTAAAGCCTTAATTTCATGCAAAAATAATGGATTTCTTTTCATTTCACCTAATATTAAGCTCTACTTTGATTAAATGTTTATATTAGGCTGTTGTAAAAAACAGCTGCAAATATGAAACAGAAATGATTTTAGCACTTACATAAAAAAGTATACTTCAATGTTCACCGATAGTTATTTCTGGTGCCACTCAATACGCATCCATTTTGATTTTTGAATATTTGACAGTTAATTTGAGTGATATTGTTAAACTATGTTATGATGGATCGACAATGCAATTGAGTTTTTTTTTAAGTTTATAGACAGTACACGAATACTGAAAACACTTTATTAACATTTTAAAATAAATACTTTGGGATATTTAGCAAAAATATCGTGTTGAGGCTTTCACGGTACTGTTTTGTTAATTTTATTTGAATCACTTTGATAAATGCTGAATGATTTATGTTTTATATTACAAAATACACAATAAAATGTAATTAATAAATATAATTTAATAATAAATAAAAAAAATAAGTGCATGAAAACATTTCACAATTTGAAACTGGTTATAATATACCGCCATCTTTAAACGTAAGTTGTAAAGCTACACGACGCCATATTGAATTTAATGTGATTGTCAAGCATTTCAGCACTTGTTTGCTAAGTATACTAATATTGTGGATTTTATTTATTGTTGACGATAGTTTAATTTATAATTAATTAAAATGGCTATGGCAATGCAGAGAAGAATTAATGTAAGTTGTTATTTATAAATAACAAAGTGTACGTTCTATTTTTATTGCAAATTCGGTTTACTTTATATGTTCATCTTTTTAGGTGCGTTTACCTCCAGAAGTGAATAGAATTCTATATATAAGAAATTTACCTTACAAAATAACTGCAGAAGAAATGTATGATATATTTGGAAAATTTGGGGCCATCCGACAAATTCGAGTGTAAGTTGTCAGATAAACTTTCCGTGTTGAATATGGCTTACTGTGTTAATTTTTCTTTGTCACTTCGAATTATATACACGCTTTAATGTAGTATATTTTATAGTATGATTATAATGCTTTAACTATGTTTTCACTAATCAAGACAAAGTACTGATGCATCGTTACATATATGTATACATAAATGCTAATGAATGCTAAGTGTTTATTCCAAATTCTACTATAAATGTTTACACTTTATTAGCAACCATTTTTAAATTTATTTTTATTACTTGCTAGTGCTTATTATGAACCTCATATTAGCTTAAAATGAAGCATATGGTTATAGATGGAATTGACAAAATTTAATAATCCATAAAAGCATTCAATTTTTGAATTAAAATTACATCTAGCGTTTAAAATTTATTTTCTGGCTTACTTCTTAAAGAGACATTATCTTTATATGTAAAACTTTAGCAGTGGTAACAAATGTTTAAGTTAGCAATTTAGTATTTTACTCCATGATGTGATGTCATCGAAACCCCCAGATTTCAATAGTCTCATTAGTTTATGTCTACTATTTATTTCTATTACTATTTAGATTGCCTTTGAACTTTCCATATTTTGCCAGTTGGAATTTTGTTCCAAGAAACAAACTGTGCCAATTCTATTTGACATACAAAATGACGAAAAACACTAAGTTTTTAACATCCTAATTGTTTATGCAGTCTTTGTATAAATGTTCTAACAAAGAATAACTAGGTTTTTATATAATTAATCAAAATACATATTTCAGAAGATGTAAGGTTTATATACGAATCAAGCATTTTGTATACGAATTTTTATATTTTGCTATGTTATAAAAAATATTGATCTAATTTTGTTGAATTTAATTCAACATATTTTGTTTTTATTTGTTCATAAAACACATTCAGCATTGTAAAAACACCGAATAAATAGAAGTATATAAACTATGAGCCTCCTGTGAATATTCCTAAAATCTGTTTCTGCCAGATACACTGTGCCCGATTCTGTACATATTTCGACTGCGTCTGACAGAGGGCTAAATGTTTATTTAATGCTAAAAAATTTTAATATATTTTTTATGGTAACATAAATTCTATATAAGTCTATTTATTTCTTACAGAGGTAACACTCCAGATACCCGTGGAACAGCATTTGTAGTCTATGAAGATATATTCGATGCCAAGAATGCCTGTGATCACTTGTCCGGTTTTAATGTTTGTAACCGATATCTTGTTGTTTTATATTATCAATCAAACAAAGCATTTAAAAAGATTGATATTGACAAGAAACAAGAGGAAATTGATAAAATGAAATCTAAATTTGGAATTGATACTGATGAGCTGAAAAAGTGATTTAAATTTAAGTGTATCTTAATTATTTACTAAGAGCCGAGGGTATTGCTCATACAAATAATATATGTGGAACATTTTCTTATGCCCTTATGTTATTTTGATTGGTAAAATCCAAAGTATATGTATGATTGTATATATAAGTGTAACTTGCAAATAAATTTTAAGTTTGTAAAAGGTGGTGTTTCTATGCTGTGTGGTGTGTTTGATACTTGTGTTACGTATGGGCTTGGTGAGATGGCGACGGCGTTAAATTGAAGTGAAAACGAACTTGCACTTTCTAGCAGGGAACGAGGGACATAATCGCAATGGGCCGACGCATAGACCGATGGAAAACTGGTGTAAACATTGCGATTGCGACGTCGTAGTGTAGTATCGAGTCGTGACGCGTTCATGTGTTATTGTCAGTGCGCGTACATAAATAACACAAGCGGTTCAGCGTGCAAGCGCGCTCGTCTACCGTCTACCGTCTGCATACAGTCAGTCGATTCTTTACGACGTTCATTTTTCTTTTTTGATTAGCGTCGCGCGCCCGTCGCCTGTCTTTTGAGTGGTTATTTATAATTAAACGATCATATTATTCTAAATGAACGACTGCTGCGGGAACGGCTTATCAACCGGGGAAACGTTCAAGAATATCTTGAACAAAATCATAGACATCGCGTCTGCTGGTTACAGTGATTCTATTATCGCCGGTCGCGAGAGGAGCCGCATATACGGCCCGATACCGGTGTTTGTGATTTTTGTCAGTGCTGTTCTTTTAATATTCAGTCTGTGGGCTTGTCGCGATCGCAGATTTACCTGAGGGCCAAACCCTCCAAGGTGAGCATGTGTGATTGTACAACATTGTGTTTTGAGCCGTCATTCATAACAAAGCTGTCAAGCAGACAGTGTGCCCGCGATATGACAGCATGTGCACTTTGCTCCACGCGACTATGAATGAAATATTTTCCCTATGATCAAGTATTATCGCAAGTGACAATGGTGACAACGCACTAATATGTCATTTCTGTTTAGTTGAAAGTAAACGTTGTCTCAGCTCCAACTGATTGTTTTGTATCGGAGCAATTTTGCGTGAGTAGGACGCAAGCGCAACAGGCCTTAGTTACTCCTCTCGCGTTCATACGCACCTACTTTGATTGGGACTTGATCTTCATCTGTGCTTAACTTAAGATTAGGATTAATGCATCAATATCAAAACATATTCAACTTTAAGGGGCACAACTGGTGTAACCGCCTGAAAAAAAAGTGATTTTTGGGAATTTATATTAAAAAAACTACTTCATTAATCATTTCAAAATTTTAGGAATATATTAATACATGTTTTAAGAATACATAGTAAAATTTTTGAAAGTTAATCGTCGATCTCCAACGGTGCGACAAAAAAAGGTCGTTCACTGCTGCAGTGATTCCGGCCTTCTACGTGGATGAAATTAAAAAAAAAAAAATTCTCGTTAAACTAGATAATATTGATTGCAAAATGAACTACGATAAAGAAAAAAAATCAAAAATTGACAAAATGACAGCGTTTTTTTAAACAAAGTCGAATTTTACCCAAAATTTTGGTCGTTTTTGGACTGCCAAAATTCGATTTTTGATCCGATCAAAAAATCATTTTACGAGGAACTATATATAGAACATGTAAAAAAAAATTGATAGTGATCGGATCATTTGTTTTTGAGTAATCGCTGCAGCAAATTAGGAAAATGCTGTTTCGAGAAAAACGCGTTTAAAGATTAAATGATCGTTGTCCTATATACTATATATATGTGTATATATACTCTTTAAATGGCTGCAATTCAAAAACTATTTAAGATATAACCTATTAAAAGGTATAACCTATTGAATTATAGAAAAATTGAAAATTCGATTTTTTGAAAATTTCACACTAGTTGTGCCCCTCACGTTATAATAATCGCAAAAAAATAGAAAATATATTTTTTTATGTATACAAATTTTGAACCGATTTGAATAATTTAAGAAACATTTTATTTCTACTAACGAAATGAAGAACTGATTACATTTTTTCGAAGGCAGGTTTAGTGGTATCGTACAAAAATGCCATTTGCTTATTTCAATAGTAAGTACAAAGTTTGTTTACATTTTCATGGATTCTGGTCCAATGTTCATCTGTTAGACTGCGTTGCAGCGCTTACGCGCTTCGATTTTTTGTCTCAACGCAGCTGACGCAGTGCGATTGCTTTGAAAACAAGTTCAAAATTTTCAAGATATAAAAAAATATTGAAAATTTTAAATAGTCAATTTTTTTCAGAAATTTCAAAATTCTCAAAAACCTATTTTTTTCAGTTTTCAAAAAAAAAAATCCGTATGCTAAATTCCAGCAATTTGCATTAAGGCACTATGCCATGCTAGTTTATATCATAGAATAATTTATGAAATTAAATTGTAACATAACGTCCTACAACTATGCATTTAGATACCTAATAATTTACAATAAAAAATTAATAACAATCACTAAACAATATACGTTAAAAAATTATTTCACTAGTTATTGGGCTCTTTTGAAAGAAACTACAGGCTCGGCTTGCAAACGGAGGATAAAAAGATAATTGACTGAATTCTAATCGATATTTGTGTAATGTTTAGATTAGTTTTTACATTGCGTTGGATTTCAAATCCATTTTTGATCTTGGAATTCAAAATTATACTAATCTACATTAATACCTAGTAATTCTACAATTTGTTACTGTGCAATCAATATAAATGCATCTTGCAATAGGAATAGGAATATGCAATAAAACAATTAATGCGTATAAATATTTCAACACATCAAATTGGTAATTTATTTACCAATAATATTGAAATTGAAATATATCAAAATCGTTTTCGAGTTAAATCAACTATCAATATATAACATCGTAACCAGACATACGAGTTTCTTATTTTCACTTTCGTTACAACTGTTCCAGAAGTTCTGTGAAGCGCTGTTTGATCGGGTTTGTAATTAATTTGCCAAAAGGTATAAATATATGGGAATAGACAGAAATAATGCTGTCTATCTACCAGTCTTTAAATAATTGAAATTTTATGGTAAAATTATGAATATTTTTTTTCAGTTTTTACTCAGGGTTTTAGGTCCGATATCTACTTCGAATAGCCTGATATCAAGAAGTAGTTATATTGGTTTTGAATTGAAAATATAGACGGAAATATGTTTCCAAGGGAAAATAGCCTTTACTTGGAATTTCTGCATCATCAAATTTAAAATCATCCCTATTAGAGAAATTCTAATAATAAAAATATATCAATTATTGATAGGCCATCCGTTGGGTTGCCTTCTGAATAATTAGAAATTATCATTATAACAGCTTATAGAACTGTAGTGTTCTGATTCACTGCTGTTCAAATACTACAAAAAATTCATGTTAACTAAATTTATACAAAATATATGAGCAAAATATGTGAATTATATATTGCTCAGTTGAGCAATGTAGTTACAGAAAAGCTGAACTTACAAATATGGTGGTATTTTTATTTTGTTAATAGGTTTGTATAGATCCAGCAATTAATTAACACCAACTTGGATGAATAACGATTAAATGCACTTTTATATAATTTTGACAGAAATCTTCATAAAATCGTAAACCGCAAATAATAATTTTTTAACTGATAATTTTCTCTGTTGTTACTTTTATTGTGTAATGAAAGTTTACCATCGTGTTATCTTTGTATATATCTTTTATAAATCTGCTCCTATTTTTTATTTCAGGATTTACTAAGTTATATGGTATATTATAAGGTATATGTGGTTTAAATTAGCAATCATTACTTCAAGAGTGATATCAGAAGTGATTACTTTAAAAAAGCTAAAACGAACTAATGAATAAAATAATTTTTTTTGTCTGAATCTTTTCTTTTCCTTTATAAATTTTACTTAACCCTCTCGCTACGAGAGTTTTCCCGCAGGAGTATCGCTGCTGTACGGAACAGCAGGTCAATTAGTAGTGCTACTAATTGGCACGCATAGATATTTTTGTCATTATCAATAAAAATATGTTGAAAAATAAAAATTACCCTTCCAATAAACTACAATAAATAATAGAGTTATCAATAGTTTAACTCATAGTTATAACTATCTTGTTTAACTAATAGTTATAATAATGTTGAAGCAAAGGCCGACATAGCACATGTCGTTCATGGATGACATCCGTGCACACGGCACATCGTCCATGGTCGGCACTCGTATACACATTTTTAGCGAAAGGGTTAATTAAATCGAGAATAATCTGTATAGATAATGGAAACCGGATTTTGGTCGGATACGAATGTAATAAAACAATTTTTAATAATTGTTTGATACAATTCTTCAATAATTATTTCAAGTTAGTTGAGAATAAAGTATTAATTTATTCAAAATACCACAGGTTGCAAATGAAATATACAGTTGATATTATTATAAATAGCTTAGAATTGTTCTCATATACACGTTCATTTGCAGGCTAACATATGGGGTGGACGATAACGGAAGTCGTATAATATTAATTTTACAAAATAAGACTGATAATAAATGGCCTTGGTCCGAGTATGGATACGAATATTACTGCTAAATGTAAATATTATTATAAGCGTCTTATAATTTTATTATATCGAGATGATGATGTTTAATATAAATTGAAACATTATACTTTAATAAATGTAATTTGAAGAAAGTTTTTGTTTTTTTTCTGCATTTAGCGTCGAACCATTATTTTGTCATTATAAGTTTGTATCATACTTGAACGTCCAATCACTGGATTGGCATTCGATTTACACATTCTAAGCACAGCCAAAAATTTGCTGATGTTTCATGGAATAAGTGCAGATATGAAATTAAAAAAAATAGTTCGTGCATTACTGGACTCACTTTTATTCATTATAACAGTTAGCACCTACAGTTGTACGCGTATAAGTAATACTTTTTTTTAAAAAAAGTCTGTTAGTAACTTGTCATCGGAATTTTTATTGTTATTATTTTGTTTGTTTTTATTGTTTTTATTAAGAACTAAAAATATGCATTATGTATTTTGTATCAATTTTTGATAATGATTTGTTTGCATATTTTAATGAAGTAGAGTAATATAATACTGGAGATAATTAATTTGTTCTATTAATCGCTGTCTGTGCGACGTATTTTCAAAACACATCATATCTTGTGTACCGTCGCGTCGTGTCATGTCTGCGACAGACTAAAGTAATAGTAAGAGAGCTGAAGAATATTTTGAACATGTGGTCGATGTATAAGTAGGAATATTCACTTATGATTATTAAACTTAATTCACATGTGTTTTTTTTTTGTTAATTACTCAATCTAAATACTAATATTTTATGACCTGAACAATTATGATATCCCTTCTACTACCATCCAATTTATCATGTAAAAATGATTAATAATTATTAGACTATACTAACTTTTCATGCCGGTGAAAATCTTCTCAGTAAGTACACAGAAAGTAGTTTCATATTATAGTTCCAAAGCCTTCTGAACATTTTGGCATACCTTAGAAAAAATGGATATATGTGTGTGTATGTATGCGGATACAATTTTTTGTCAACGATTTCGAGAACACGGATCAACCGATTTGAATAAATCAAAATACATATTACAATTGCAGTACTGCAATGCAAATGGTTGATAAAATTTTGGGTTAAGTAATTGCGGGTTTCTGTTAAATAATGTTTTTTTTAAAGAACTAAATAATTTTATAATTTTGTAATACTTTGTTCATTTTAATCAATTACTTTTTGTTCTCTTTCAAGCAGCATCTTCACACTTTCATATAACTTCTGGTTTTCATTAACAAAAAATTGAATCAGGTACAATT